CACCACCATCAACAATCACCACCATCAACAATCAACACCATCAACCATCACCACCATCAACCATCACCACCATCAACCATCACCACCATCAACAATCACCACCATCAACAATCACCACCATCAACAATCACCACCATCAACCATCACCACCATCAACAATCACCACCGCAATTACCGACTGATCACGTGATCATCGTGACCATCGCCTCGTGCTCTCGAGTGCAGACAGTCTCTCCGTCACCATTTGCATTTCCGGGTGGATCACAAATCCAGACGACAAGTACAAGTACGTTCCCATTCACATGCCTGTGTATATGCTTGGTTGTGCGTCTGTGTGCGCCTGTGCGTGCCTTCTGTGAATGCTTGGTTGTGCATGTGCTCCGAGCATGCTGGCTCATTGAATGCTGTTCGTGCCATCACTACATCAACAGGGACTATGTCGAACCCTGGCTTGGCCTCAACATCGAAACAGAGCAGTACTGCCTGGTGAGTGGACGACAACACGTGTCCCTACATGCACACAGACGCCCATGCACACGCTCTGCGCCTCACTCACACACATGCTCACTACCGCTGCAACTTCGCCTTCACTTGACCTGCATGCATGTGCACATGTGCGTATGCGTGACAGCTGTTTGATTACAAGCAGATGCTCGCCCTCGGCGTTGCCCTCGAGAAACTGCTTAAGGCCGAGGCGGTGCGTGCAACACATCTCATTCGACGACTCATTCGACATGCCTCGCGCTGCACCACATCCCACGGCATGCATGCACCTGCGTGTGTGTGTGTGTGTGTTTCGCACTTTCCGAACCCTTTGCTGCATGCAACCTTGGCTTACCAAATCTCTGTTCATTTCACTCACCACCAACCATCACCTCAACACCAACCATCACCTCAATCACCACGGTGCTGCTGCGTGCGCCCACAGGTCGGGTACGTCGTGTCTGAAGTCCTCAAGCGGACGGTGCTCGCCTCGCTCATGGCCGCCGTCGCCCTCCCAGCTGCAATCCTCAAGGTCGGGCTCTTTGTGTGTGTGTGTGTGTGTGTGTGTGTGTGTGTGTGTGTGTCTGTCTGTGTGTGTCTGTGTGTGTCTGTGTGTGTCTGTGTGTGTATGTGTGTCTGTGTGTGTCTGTGTGTGTATGTGTGTCTGTGTGTGTCTGTGTGTGTGAGGGGGGGGGGGGATTGTGTGTATGTATGTGTGATTGCATGTCAATCAATGTCTGCTGCTTATCCTTCGCGGTTTCTTTCCCCTTCATCTGCATGTTCCACACCTTCAGTCCTCACACGCACATACACTCCCATGCACAATCCCATGCACATTCACACTCTCACGCATTCACACACGCACCAGATTGGATCGCTGGTTGACAATCCGTGGTCGGTCGCCGCAAACAGGGCAGAGCGCGCCGGCATTGAGCTGGCAAGCGCCCTCCTCTCACGCGCACAGGTGCTCCCAGACGCATCGCTGCTTGTTTGTTGCTGCTGCTGCTGCTGCTGCCACAACAGCAGCCTGAGTCGTGCTCCTCTTCATTGCATCCACCCGTGGCTCCTGTTGGTGCACTTGATCACACTCACACACGACATGCTCATTCACTCCCGCACACACGCACACACACACGCGCGCACAACGCACAACGCACACGCCGCCTCTGTTCCATTTCAAGGGCAATCGGCCCGTGACGCTGGTTGGGTTCTCGCTGGGCGCCCTCACCGTCTTCCACTGCCTCAAGGAGATGAGCAGACGCAAACACGCTGCAGGTACGAACCTTTCACAACAAAACGAACCTCTTTCTCTCCTGTGCTCCGTGCATGCTTGTCATGCCAACGTCCTTTGCATGTGCGTCCATCAACACCACAACTACCACCTTTAACACACACACACACATACACATACACACACATACACACACACTGCCACTATCACTATCACACACATCACCAGGCGTGGTTGAGAACGTGTTTCTCTTTGGCGCCCCCGTCACCGGCGATCCAAATGTCAGTTAGCAATGTTGAGTCGTGTTGTATGTGGTGACGTGACATGCGCGCTGATGAGAAGCACATATGTCATTCGCTTCACGATGCCAATGCCATACATTTAACACACACACACACACACACACACACACACACACACACACACACACACACACACAATCCACACGCCATTCTCAACACTGCAACCCCTTCCCCCCCCCCCCCCCCAAACTAACGTGAACGACAGGTGTGGGCGTCGTTTGAGCACGTGGTTGCATCACGTATCGTCGTCGGATACAGCAACAAGGACTGGCTCCTCGCCTTTCTCTGCCGCGGTGCCGCCTTCAGCGTACGTCCACTGCATCGTGTGCTGCCTCGTTGCCTGCTTTGTGTGTGTGTGTCTGTGTGTGTCTGTGTGGGTTCGACCTGCCTGCTCCTGCTGCTTCCTTCACCTCGCAACCCCCCCCCCCCCACTTCCAACGCCCTTCCCTTCTCGGCTGCTGCAGATGTCTGTTGCTGGCGTCCACGGCGTTGCCTCGCCGCTGGTTGAGAACTTGGACCTGAGCGACATTATCCAGGGTCGCACCAACTACGCCGGGAACATGGACAAGATCCTCTCGCGTGCAGGTGCGGCAGTGAACAGCAATCGCTACATGTGGCCGCTGTGAGGAGGGGGGAGGGGTGTGGGGTGTGGGGACTGAATGGGGTGTATTCTCGTCGGGAAAAGTTGACGTGATGGAGAAAGGAGAAGGGTAATCGGGTGCGATGTCAACGAGTTGTGTGTGTGTGTGTGTGTGTTTACGACTGTGGCTGATTTTGTCTCTTTCTCGTGGTTTTGGACTTGTGCGCCACCGCCAACCAGGTCTTCGCCAGTGCCAGTACGGCAGCCCCCACCGCGGCACCATCGGCTCGCGCGTGTATGTCCCAAAGTTTGGATACGGCATTCACAGGTAGGATGCACACGCACACGCACACGCACACACGCACACACGCGCACACGCGCACACATATATACGCACACACATATACACGCACGCACACATGTACACGATTCATAAACATCCGCGAATCATATCCACACGCGCAAACAAACCACACGCCCTCACACCCATCCCAACCCCAACCCCAACCCCCTCCCTCTCATCTCTTCATCAGGTACTATGGAATGCTGAAACTGCCTGAGGACAAAACACGCCAGCCGCCAGCGCAGCAGCAGCAACAGAAGCAACAACAGCAGCAGAAGCAACAGCAGCAACGGCAGCAACAGAAGCAGCAAGCTGCACAATCGAAGATGCCACCAAAGCAGCAAAAGCAGCAGCAGCAGCAGCAGCAGCAGAAGTCATCATTCCTTGGCGGGCTGTTTCGCTCGTCGTCGGTGTCCTCGTCCCGCTCGCGAACAGCGACGGCCTCATCGCCATCACCAGCATCATCATCATCGACGTCGACAGCAGGAGGCAAGACGGGCAGCAGCAACAAGGGGTCGCCCGCTGCCAACAAGGGTGAGCTCGATCTCGAAGCGTTTGATGACGCGTTGGCGGAACTGTCGGAGGAAGCGCAGGCAACGAAGAACAAGCACAAGCAGCAAGCGCACAAGCATCAGCCGTTTGAGAGCGGCAATGGTGGTGATGATGGTGGCGTGGAGGTGATGGCTGAGACGACAACAGCGCCTGTTGAGGACGAGATGTCCATTTCCACCGCCATTGAACGCGAGCAGCAGCACGAACAGCAGCAGCAGCGAAAAGGAGAGACACAGGTACCCGGTACGAGTGGCGCTGATGCGACACACGATGATGGTGTTGTGGATGTGGTGACAAAGGGTGCGAGTGACGACACCGCCGACGCCGCCACCAGCAGGCCAGCGCCTGGTCTTGGCGTGAAGGAGGTGGCACAGGAGGGCGCCGTGTACGGAGCAGCCAAGGTTGTGGGCGGCCTTGCACAGCGCGCGATGATGCTTGCAAGCAAAGGCGACACGGGCAACGTGCCGCTGGTGTGGATTGGCGTTGCATTTGACGACCCCGTTGCCGCAAACGACGGAACCGTCAAGGGCGTCACCTACTTCAAGTCAGTCGCTGATGCTGTGAACCGGGTGATGGGTATGGTGTGCTGGTTTGTTGTGTGTGATGTGTGTGTGGGGGGGGATGGGTGGGTGCTGTGGTGCTGATTTGTTTCCTTTGATGTTGTGAATCACGTGCCGAGCTGACACCCATACCTACACCAACGGTCACACCTTTGCACTTGCCTTGCGCAATGACTACACCCCTCCCCCCCCCCCTTCTCTCCCTCCTTTCCAACTTGTTCACCACTTGGCAGGACGTGCAAGCGTCACGGCGGGTTCTTCTCCGCGCGATCTGGCGCCGTCCGTCTCGCAGACGACGAGCGGGGGATGGGGAAGTGAGTCCAGCGCTGCTGCTGTTGTGTGTTGATAAATTGTGTGCTGCTTGTTCACTTGTCAGTTGCTTCTTGCCACCTCCCTTGCTGCTGTGTGCCCTTGATCCAAGTTGAACGCACACACACACTCACTCACACACACACACACACACACTCACTCACTCACTCACTCACTCACTCACTCACTCACTCACTCACTCACTCACATTCACTCACACACACGCCACACACTCCCAATGATCACCACCAGATGCTATTCGTGCCTGTGCATGCGCAACCGGTTCCGCAAGTGCTACTCGCCGACGTGTCTCGCTGCCTACGATCGCGGCGTCGCTGCGCGCACATATGTCCCGCCGCCCGTCGATGAGGAGGAGGAGGAGGCCGCAAAACAGCAGGGCGGTAACGTCGTCTCTCGCACATACCGCAACGTCGGGCGCACCCTCTCACGTACGTTTGCACCCTCTGTGTGTATGTGAGTGAGTGTGTGTGTGTGTGTGTGTGTGTGTGTGTGTGTGTGTGTGTGTTGCATGCTCGTCTTTCCTGTAATGGCGTCCCCCCCCCCACCTCTTTGCTCCCAACTCACGACTCAACGATTTTTATTCAGGCTGGACGCACACTGCGCTGTGGGGCAAGGACGA